AGGTACAGCTAGGCTGTGAACAGCCAACCATCAATTACAAAAGGGCTTATGCTTTTGCCTTCTACCTGCGTGCGCCTGGCCAATCAGATTAGTTCAGAAGGGTTTAGTGTCTCTTTCAGGGCTGCATAAGCAGGCTCAGGGATAGGCCTTTGGGGTGGGTGTTGCTAATCGATCTGGCCCTACATTCTTAATCTCGTTGCATTCACTTACAGCAAGAAAGAACCACCGGTGACATGCCGATGACTTCTTACATTACAATACGCAATTTTTACCTCTTTGCTTTTGCAGCTGTCAAACCTTTCAGGTCAGGTCTTTGACTAGCTCGGTTCAGCTCTAGGAATCGTATGTTCTTCATCAAGGAAGGATTTCTCAAGTGGTAGAAGGAGCAGGTAAGAGGAGACTGTTTGTAATAGGAAAATCAAAGAGCGTCTTCTCAGACCGGTGCATGATTGGGGGTATGCGGGTGTTATCCCACCTACCTGCAGATAGATGGGAGTCCCGAACTAGCTGCTGCTTGTGAAGTATGGAAGGAAATTCAATTTTCATTCCCAGCAATGGATACTTTGTAATCTACTAATTGATGTTCGTTTTGTTAATTGAATTGCAATTAAACTCGGCCCAATCTACCTTACTTCCTGAGTGCCTGAAGGTCTTCAAAGAAGTGCTGCAAAGGGATGACCTGATCTGCCTCCTAACCTGTAAGTAGACCTGCAAAATGGATCGGGAGGAGTTCCCGACGTTAACACTCTGACGATCAAGTCAGTTCCTAGTGATGAAGATGATGAACAATTGATATTAAACTCTTTAAGTATAATAGAGTGTTAAAGAATACAGAGTGTAAATGGATACCTCACCTCTTTTACATGGGGGTGTTACCTTGTTGCCCAAGAGTACCCAGATGGGCTGCTCAGACTGCCCGAGCTATCCGTTTATACTACTCAAATTGCCAATATTATTCAACTTTACCATCACTTATTTAAAAATTAGAATAATATATTATAATAAAGTATAAGTAAGGAAAGAAAGAGAGTAGCATTTTTGTAAGTATTATTATTTGATTATGTTACATTTTAATTTTCCTTAATTGTAGACATGAATCATAAAATGAGAGCTATTTTATAAGCGGAGAACACATACGTCATATATTAAATAATTATATATTATAAAATAGAAGAAAAAAATAAATACTAATACTAATTTTCAACACTATTTTTATACTAATCGATATTATTTCACTGCTTTAATTTGTTCAATTTATTATATATCATAAAAGTAAAGGAAAAAATAAAAATTAATACTAGTTTTCAACACTATTTACACTAATCGATATTCATTAACTGCTTTAATTTGTTCATTTTTCATTATTGACCCATATATCGCATGGGCCTATGTACTAGTAAAATATTAAATATTAAACGAAAAATACAAGTAAATTAGGGAGTATGGATAAACAGATATAGTTAATTATACTTTATTTGGAAAGAATGATAATATATTATATATAGTGTTTTCTAAACTAGCGCGCACCTTGTGCGATGCACGTACGAACTTGTTACTTAAAACCCTTTTTAAAACTTTACTTTAAATAATTATTTATATTTAACATCTCATTATTACAAGAAAAAAATACAAAATATTAAAAATTATATTATTTATTTGAATATAATGAATGTCCCCAACCAAACTAATAACAACCAACACATGGTATATGATAAAATTAGTTATATGAATCGTCATATTTGATTCGCATTAAAATTTGTAATTTGGATAAGAGATGAAAAATGGATGTGTACAAAAAATAGCTACCAAGATCCCCATAATATGAGATTCTTTCCATATTTTCAAAGATTTTGTAATTATATAAAGTTGAACAATCCGAAATATAAAAATTAATTTATGAAATTAACATTCTTTATTGAATAAATACGAATTTTCAGTTGTGACCACAAAATATGAGATTTGTGGATAGATAAATATGGATAGAAAAATATTTAACAATTAATTTGGCATGACTTTTAAGAAAGATTTCAAAAAAATTCAAATGTTTTATTCGTTTAATGATTGATCGGATTTTCGTAACTAAATTTACACGTTTGACCGAAAAACATTTAAGAAAATGATTGATCGGATTTTTTGGAAGTAAGATTTTCAAGATTCTTTTTAATGATTGGCCAGATTTACCTGTAGCATTTAAGTAAATCATTAACCATATTTTTAGGAATTAAGGTTTACACAATATCTTTCTCAACAACAATTTTTCTTCTTGAAATTTGAATTCGAATTTTTATTCAACTGTCATTTTCCAAAAAAGAAAAAAAATACTAAGAATAATAACTTTAAAAATTTTAAGCGGACATTTTAATACTATTTAAAGTAAATCCCTTTCATATAATATAATAATCTATATATATATAATAAGAATTACCATTTTTTAAAAATAGAAAGTCAAATTTCAATCAACATTAATTACCTACCATTCTTAGTAACTTTTTTTTTCCTAATAATCATATTAACAATATATTAAAAGAGTGATTAACATGCTTTGTTATATAAATACGTGATTTTCACTTAAAATTGAAATGATAACAGGCTTTGCTCATTAAAAATTGAACATGTTAACAAGATTTTTCAATTTATGAGGCTTTGTTCATAAATTTTTCAACATGTAACAACATGTTAACCATTTTTCAAAGCCTGTTAATGCATTTCAAGTTTTAATAAGAATTACCATGTGAATATGACAACAATATTTATTTATTAATTCATTTCAATTTTTAATATTCCCCGAACTTCAAATAATCATATTAACAATACGTTTATATGATAACATGTTTAATGATTAATGAATATTTATATATCATTTTATTAATATTTATGTGAATAAAATAATATTTTATTATAATTTTTATTAATGTACAGTGAATATGGTTTTCAGAATCGAACCATCATCGAAACGATCAAGTTATTCTATTAAATCATTTTTAGTTTGTTCAGATTTTAATTTATGAACATTTTAATATCACTATATATATATATATATATATATATATCTAGAGTACTTTTTGTAATAAATTTTAATAAAATGTGTTAAATATTTAAACAATTTATAAATTCAAATGTTAAAACTAATTGATAAACAATTTATAAATCTCTATTTTATTTAAATATGTAATTTTATTTAAAATAATTTTAAATGTAACAAAATTTATTTAGAAAATCTTAACGATCCTACCAGTCCAACCGACTGATATTGACGGATTCAATAGTAAATATTTTATTCAAGCAAACTACACTGTTTATAACCCGGTTCTTGGTCCATCCGGTCGGACTGTGACCAACCTGGTTTAATTAAAAAACAATGGATAAATTATAATTAATGATATTATATATTTAATTTATAATATAATCGTAATATTATTTTCCCGTGCATCGCACGGGCCACGCACTAGTAGATATGAAGAAGAATATCTGCCAAATTTACATACAATATTCTAAAACATAAAAGAAAAAATAAGAAAAAAATGAATGTTGTTGTCAAAAATCCGGCGACATGGCTAATTTATGTGTGTCTTAATTTATTGTGGTCGATCACAACTTATCAACGTCGTAATTTCATTATTGATAACACCAAGAACACGTAAAGCCCCATTTTTTGTGGTGATACAATACTGGCCTTTCCTGATATCAACTCAACAACAAAGCTGGATTATTATTTACTTGCGAAGCAATTATTTCGTAATGGTCAAATTAATCGAACCTGTACTTTGCTTGCACATATTATCTTCTCTCACATTATATTAATTTCATATTCTAATTTCTTAAATGCACAACTTACAATTTGATCAACCTACTATCATAGGCCTCGACTATGCATCGCTTCATTAATTTGTTTAGTGTTCATATTGTTATGCTGAATATCGACCTACATCATGCGATTAGGCCACAAGGGAATTTTTATGCCAGTAAATACAATTAATTTTTCGCGGACAATCAGTAAATAATTATTAGAGATATCCTTTAGTGACAGGAGGAGCTCAAGATCATGAGCCGGTTCTGATTCAATATGGTGAGTAAATCAATTCAAATTGCATTTTATGCAGGATTCAGAGTTGTCACTCATAAATAATTAGAAGCAATATAAACACTGCAATAAGAAAACAGTCCATAGAAAAACAATATTCTTGTCCAAGACAATATATCTCCATAACGGGTAGGGGACAATTTACATTTTATTAATTATTAGTATTATTTTCAGGTAAAACTCTTTATATTTGTGATTTTTACATATTATAAAAGCCGATGATATTTAATATACTTTAATATGCTAAAAATAGCTTTTCATATAATATTTCAACATGCCATGCATGTGCTCATATTTGACTTGTGCCAATTAAAGAAAAATCTAAAGGTTCACGACTCGTAACTTATATAATAGGCAACAATAAATTGCACAATTGGGCGTAGCCAAAGGGGCCTACCCTCACTAATTTCGAAAGTTTAATTCNAGTACGTATAGGGGAGTTTCGAACGAATGACTGCGTACGTACGTAAGGAACGGGCCGAAAGAAAACTATTGATCACGTCAATAACTCATATGAATTCTCATGAGTCATGACATGCAAAAAAACTATACATAATTCAGTATCACTAACAAATATTTAACGTATATATGATATGGGCTAATCAAAATAATAGATCAACTTATCCCACTCTTATTCATCAGGACTTATTTCTTTTCTCCTGTCTCATTACATTCAATTCAACATACTGATACACACACACATATATATATATATATATAACTTGAACTTAATAAACTTCTTTGACACCATAAAGTAAAACAAACAACATTATTATATATAGTATACGTATAATCAATTTAAGCAGACCCAGAAAAACCACTTATTTCCAAACGCGGCCTTCCCTTTATTGATAAATATTTATTTCATATTTATATATATAAAAAAAAAAAATTATAAAAATCCCAAACCTATCAATAATCACGCATAATCACACATGCCGTATATACAGTAGCCACCTGGCATGCACCTATGGTTACAATAGCCGCAGTGCCTCTTGTCATAGGCGAGGTCGACACATTCCCTTCGACAGCACGTCTCAGTAAACGCGCATTTCCTCTTGCAGCCTCCACAGTTGTTGTGGTCGTAATTTATGTCGATGCACTTGTTGTTGCAGCACGTCGTGTTCTGTCCCGTCACGCCCGAGAGGTAGCTGCAGATCTCGTTTTCTCGATTGCAGTGATCGGCCGCCTTACGGTTTTTCGCTCTCTGCTGCAGAAAACGGGCGGCCAGCCTTCCGGAAGGTGGCTGGGAGGTGGCGGCGGCTGGCGGCGGAGGATTTTTGGAGTTGGTGGCAGTGAGGGTTACGATGGCGGTTATTGATATGGCAATGGTGGCAAGGATGAACAGCTTCTTCAGTGCCTTCATTGTTCTTCAGGATTAATAATGCTTACTATATGTTTTTATTTATTTATTTATTTTATTTTTTTGTTGGGTAATTTGGTGTTTGATGGTTAGATAGGAAAGAGAATTGCAAATTGGTGTGATTAGAGGGTGAATATATGTTATAGAATATAGGGTTTGTAGAGTGAGAAGAAAATGAAAGAGTTGACGCGATCACAGAGCCGGCCTAGGCCCAGGGCAGCCTAGGCGACGGCCCAGGGCCCAAATAAATAAAGGGGCACCACCAGCTATACATTGTACTATATATATGTATATATTCATAATGTTTGGGCCCAACTAAATGTAAAATTGTAAATAAAAGCGGCCCATATTCACTAATCACAACACAAACTTAGCAACCTTACCTAAAGCCGTCCCCTTTAGTCTGCAACATCCCAAGAATTAAAAAATATATATATATATATATGTAAACAAAAGCCCCAAAATTTGTGAAGACTACGAACAAGAAGGCTTATCATCTTCATCTCTTCCGTCTTCGCTCTTCCCAACCCCCAACGGCCAAATTCAGTCACTTCAGCATATTATTCTCGACTCTCATCCCAAAATTCAAACGGTAAGTTTATCAATTTTATAGATTATAAATAGGCTTTTCAATCTTTGTTTTTTATATAATTGTATTCAACATTTCATCTTCAATTGCTTCAAATCAATCATCAGTCTTCGAGCAAAATTGTTAATTTGTTACTTCCAATAATTTTTGAGATCTATATATTTTGAATCTTTTATTTACTTTGGGAAAAATTGATCAGTTGAAGAAATTAATCAATTTATTTTGTTATTTCCAAAATTGAATCTTTTATTTTTGCGAAAAATTGATCAGCAAAATTGTTAATTAAATTTGTTATGTTTACCTCGCCCCGTCGCCCGGCTGGCCTTTTGCCACAAGTCCACACCCGGACCTAACAGGCTAACATACACCAGTTCATCCGTGGACCTAACAGGCTACGCGTAGTCCCCCAATATAGCGAGAAACCAACTGCTCCGTGGACTCCCGTATATCGACCCGTGTAAGGAGCTTATAAAACTCCTCTGTGTAGGCGTCAACCGACCGAGAACTTTGCCATAGATTTTGTAAATTTGATAAATAGTACGAACGTAATTAAAAGGTAAAAACTCACATTCAAGATGTTTACGAAACTTGGACCAAGACGTGATTTTCGACTTGCCCAAGTGATGTCGCAAACCCTTAACATGCTGCCACCACGGCGCCGCCCGTGTCGCCACCAGGCCAACTCTTCTCTCCTTCGGTACCCCTTTAAACTCCAAAACGGATTCAACCGACGCCATCCAGTCGAGGAATTCTGCTGCGTCGAGCCCGCCCGTGAACTCGGGGATGTCGACACGGAAGGAGCCCTCTCACCGTCTATCGCCATCCTCGTCCTCCAGCTGGTCGCGCTGCCTGAACGGGTTGACATCCTCGTACGTCGCATCTGAATCCTTATCGTCGTTGGAGTGTGACGGCGATTGAAATTGCCCGTCTCTGCGGAAGTCGCAATCCCCGCGACCTCCACGCTGTCCACTGCGACCGACAGCCCGCACCCGGGGTCCGTCACGGTTCATCTGCTGGCCCTGTGCAATTGTATGAAGAGCCCGACGAATTTCATCCATCCCTGTCGAAAGATCTGCCATCTCGCGACCAGTAGTCTAGAATTGTCGACCAAATCCCTCGGCTTGACGAGTCAAGGACTCGATGGCGGCGTCGCATTGGTCGTCGGCAGTCTCCCTTCGTGGCGCCATCTGGAATCGTCCCAGTCTCTGGATACCAACTGATGTAGCACAAAGTGAACGATAAAGAATAAGAGAACTTAAAGAGAATGAATCTCGATTTTTCTTACGTAAATTCAATATCCACCGCCTGGTTTACATGAAGGAGAAGATATATATAGATCTTAATAGAGTCTTAATACTACTTACTTTCTTATCTTGGCTAACAAGAACTAAATATGCTAGATAGCAAATATATTCTTACCAACTAAATAATAATGCAAAATGGAAACAATAATAAAAGGAATATTGTTTGTCTCATCTTTGTTGCGTTTTTCGTTGTCCTTTAGTCTTTATTTTCCCCCATTTTAGGTGTTTTAATTGGTTTTTAGGTCGTTTTATAGTTTATTTAGTATTTGCTCTCTTATTGGTCTTTCTTGTATTTTTTTGTTCGTTTTCCATTTTTTTCGTCGTCGTTGGTGTGTAGGTTGGAAGTCTCGGGAGAATAGGATTTCAGAAAAATACTAGTTGGACAAGCCTAATCAAAGAGAGGAGTTCGTTGGGAACACACAGGAAAAAGCGGAATCGAATTCCGAGTTGAAACAAACTCAAACGGGTCCGAGAAGCAAAGTCGTGCGAGCTGCCCACCTGACCAGGCCCCGCGNGCGCCTGCCTCCCAGCGCCGTGGCAAGTTCCCAACTATATAAATGAGGTCGGGTCTGCGACAGAGCATTATCCCTCGACTCCAGAACATAAAAACCCTACCCTCTCGTCTCTTTTCTCTCGTTTTTCATCTTCCTTTCATATTTTTCATCGTAGAACACGAATTTGAACTCGGATTTCACTATTGCTTTCGGATTAAGCTTGTTTATCGTATTCAACCTTGGGATTCCATCACTCGTAAGATTTTCTTTTCATTTAATCTATGAATATGTTTGTCTTGATTGTTGAGATTGTTGGTGTTGAATCAATTATGATTGGCTAAATCCATATGCTAGGGATAGGGGATTGATGTTTTGATATCGTTTGTGATTGTCGGGCTCAGGATTGTTCAATTTCATACGAGTTGATCTTTTTCTAGGGTTTTTCAATTGTCGGGCTCAAGTATTTAGAATTGTTGAAGGGTGACACTTCAATCACCAATTCTTTGCAAGTGAGTTCGATTTATTCTTGCTTGATGTTGGTTATTCTATACGGACTAGTTGATTAAACACTTTCTAGTCTACTTTAATCGACTCTTAGAACCGAAAGAGGAGGAGTTGGTCGAAATAGGCTCGTATGAACTAGGCTTGTTCGTAACTGTATTGCCTAGAAGTTAAATGAATTGTTAATTTGCCGTTCTAGTTTGTTCTCTTGTTACGAAAAGTTATTGAGAATGAGTACTTGAACGTGTCGATTAGTCAAATCACTTAACCGAACAATCTCTTGCTTGACAATTACATTTTCGAACCAAAACGGATATCCCCGACTCCCTAGCTCCTTAAATCCTACTTGTTCTTCGTCGTTGCTTGCTATTTCTATTTGCTTTATTTGAAGTTTTTGTCTTCGTAGTTAATAATCAAACCAAATCATCAAAATTAGAATGTTTAGGAATTTTATTTTCTTTTGTGTGGTTGAATAAACGTGCATAATAATCCGGCTAACCTTCCTCGATAGACACGACCCGGTGTTCGAATCTTTTGATTCTACTCCGGAAAAATATTTACAACAAATATGAATAAATAAAGAACTACAGCCGGAACCGATCATATTTGTGCAAATAGGTAAGAGCGATCTCGTCTCCATCAGGGCTTCACCGGGTCTACTGAACGTGTACGGGCTGCTGCTGGGCCATGAACTAACCGTTGAACACCTACGGGCTGCACGCTAGGCCGCTTGAGAATCTGGGCGAAGCGCGGGCCTAGCGGGGGCTGCTGAGATGCTTTGAAGACTAGGGCGCGCACGGGTCGCGTGACATGTTCGTGGGTCGCTCGTCTGCCTGCAGACTGGGAAGCTCCTGGACAGGTCTCTACGGGGCTACCAGTGGGATTTTATAAATGCATGCTAGTGAGTAAGGGCGTGATTGTTTATAATTTGTACAGTAAATATTTCACTCAAAACTCAAATTTAACTCAACTTTAACTCAACTCCACTATCTCCAATATTATCAATATAATTAAATAATATCAAACAATCATTATTACACATCACATCAACTTTAATTCACTATTCACACACTCACATAATTTTAACTAACCTCACTTCCATATCATTTTCTCCTACTTTTAAATCAAATCAACTTTAATTATTTTAATTTAAGTATTATTTTAATATATCCACTAACAACTAACCATACTACTTTTTTTCAAATTTAACTATAGTTAAAAAAATCTAGTTTTTTACTAGTTGAATTCATATCCAATCACCCCCTAAATCGTACTCTCTGTTGTCTTAAGATTTGCTCCTTTGATAGTTCTTTGTTGATCCTATATGAGGTTCAGGGTCACACTAGTCTGGTTAGGTCTAATAATCGATTAATATAGTTAGCTCTGTGATGTAAGTGCAACAAGATGAAAAAAATTCCCAGATCCGTCGAAACATACAAACTATGACGTGGATCTGGAGAAATACTCTAAAGTTGATGGTTGGAAATTGTCATTGGGTGATTCGTCGACAATCGCAATTGTGGTTTCTATGGCCCTCTGCTTGATTGGAGTATGGATAATGACATTCTTCTATGGTCCTATTCAGAATCCGAAAGTCTCGCAGGAGAACAGAACTGAGGTGTGACCACGCCCCTACCGAAACAAATGTAGAGTAAAAAATAAGGACACTAACAATGTTGCAACTGAAGATTGTGATAAAAGCTAGACGAACGAGGCACGAGAAAAGAAGTTTGAGGATAACCTTGACGATCTGCCTGCGGAGGTCACCAAATAAAACACCTCATCATAGCTTAATAAATATAATTAAATGAATAATTATTTAATTAATAATTAATTAAATATAATTAATTATATATCAAACTACGACGAAACGGACATAAAAATTACTATAATACAAAAACACAAGACGAAAATGAAAACACACAAAACACAACCAAATAGACCAGTTGACACCAAAGACGAACCTAAAAACGACTCGACTATGACACATAAAACACAAGAAAACACCACAAAAACATAACAAACAGCGTCGCAGAAAAGCAGAGAAGGGTTTCTGAATTTGGCGAAAAAATTAGAGAGAAATCAACGAGTCATGTTTTGTTAATTTTTACCTTTTTTCTTGTTACAAATTGTAAACCCTCAAAAGACAAAAAAATACACGGGAAATACTTACTCTAAAATAATACAAGAGCATTTACTATCACAATACCTACTTACTGCTATTTACTCTGCCGACCACCTCACAACTTGTTCCATACTAATCCATTTGCAGATCTAATTTTTTCCTACACACGCTCTAAATCCATATTATACTAATGATTCCATTGTCAACAAGAAACATTGTTATGATGATTTCCATAGTGATTCGACTTTTTTGCACATTGTTACCACAATTTATGATGTCACTAAATCCCAATTACAGCACAGATCAGAATATTGTCCATATTATAATTTCCTAAATCCCGTGACTGATTGAACTCTCGTCCGTGTTTTGCTTCTTTTGAGAAAAATAAAAAATTTGTGGTAATTTTTTTTATTATGATGATTTTTAATTGTTCAGATAAGAAACTAACTGGGGTCGCGGTATTTACTCCGAAAGGAATATCACGGGGTTACATAGATGAAAATGTCATAGATTTTGAATCCAATCTCTTAATAGTAAATGTTTTCTCGTTGTGGTTAGCAAACAGATCACATGCTTTACAGAATAATTTTTGAAGTTCTGAAGTTAATCTGTATGTGTTCAAATACAGTACTAATATTTGAGAGCTGATACACATGATTTGTTCAATGTAATTACTTAACTAGTCTTGTTTCACGACTACTTGCCTTAAATCTAAGGTACGCGTTCTGTCATACAATATTTAACTACTAATAATTCTAATTACTTTTTAATATATTAGATCATATTAATTATATAATGTTTTATATTTTTAATTATTTCCTACCACAGCAAAACCATGTACCGAGAGAGAGTGAAAGATTGGTTCTAATGAGTCTACATACTTAAAGTGAGTACGTCACACTCAATTCTTGCCATTAAAATAGGGATCAAGATGTGTGGTTAAGATTTAACTTTTTTTTTTTTTTATTTAATTAAATATTGTTTAGACCATTTGATCGAACGTTGACTCCGATGTTAACTTTCGGCGAGACCCCCAAACTTCTGGATCAAATATTTAGATCATTTTTTGTTTCCCTCTGTGCATGTATACATGATCGAATACTAATATTAGTTTAATATGTAGTTATCTTGTAATTGAAGGTTTCGATCATACCCAATACTGATTTTAAAAATAATCAATATAAAACGATATAGATATTTTTATATAGAGATGACCGGTCGACAAATATATAATGCTTTATACACTAAATTTTCATAATAAACAATAATTTATTTTAAATTTTATTTAATTTAAACTTATGCAATGTAAATTAAAATACAGTTAAATTGTCTTTGCCCGAACATTTACACGGGTAAAAGAACTATAGTATATATAATTATGCCGTGGGCCATGAGAAGTCGGTACGAAATTTCAAGTAAAACAGTTGACTTTTTTCTTAATCGTTTTCAAATGCTTTCATACGTTATTAATTTGTTCCATTGACCGCTAATTTTGCCCATTTTTACCATTTTTAACAAACAATTTGTGTAAAAATTTTAAAGAAAAAACATTTGGAATCTTTCACCACGATATAAAAGAGCCAGCTCGCTTAACCCTTTCTGTCATCTGAAATAATTTCCATAAGACCCTTTAGCGGTGGCAAACGGTGGTGTACGGCGGCGATGGCATCTCAAACGCAGCGGCTAATGGTTTTGCTCCTCCTCTTCTTGGTGGTGTCCACCACTGCCGTCCCTACAACGAGTAAGCCTTTTTTATTTTTTATTTTTAGCCTAAAGATGGTGATTTTTCAATGAATCAGTAATCTGAAATCTATTCAACACTCCTTTTTCAATAATCGAAAATCATTCGGTCTCAACAAATGTTCTTAAAAGTATTTATTTATTTAACAACTTAAAATAATTGGATGTTGTGAAGAAAACACATTTTAGATTTGGAAATTATTAGAACAACTTTATGAATGATGTTGTGTAATTCACTGTTTGTTTTGGGTAAACAGGGAGTCTTAAGGAAGTCAAGAACCGTATATCTATTCCTAATCTCCGTTTTGAGGTACACTTAATTATTTACCTACTTTGTACGCTTTATGCAAAATTGGTTCAAAGATAGTCCTGATCATCTACACATCCTTTGTTTTATTAATGTTGATTAATCATTAATTAATTAATTCTTTTTTAAATCTCGTGAAGGACGGTATGGACGAAGACAATAATGGCGATTTACGAAAACTGGAGGGAGTTTTGGGAAAAAGAATGAATCTGGAGCTTCATGATTATGCAGGGACACTACCAAACTGCAAAAATCTCATACACATAAAATGTCGTTAATTGCCTTGAATGATTTGATAATATTTATTTTCAGTCCTCACTTGCCATTTGAGGCATAAAGGCAAGACATTGAATCATTAATTAGTTGCCCATGTTCGCTTATGTTTTCATGTTCCTTTTTTATTATCTTAATTTTCTCATGTTCTGAACATTTTAGTTTAATTTAGAGTATTTTTAGTTTATAAGCTTGCAGTTTGTTGGGGGTGCATCATTTAGCTTAATGGCATTTGGATCTCAACTTCCTGCGGTTATTCCAGAAATAGATGTCAAACGGTTTGGCTCTTGGAAAAATGTCGACGGAAATAAGGATTCTAAAAAGAAATAATCAGTAATTTGACATATAAGATTGAAATTGGCATTTATTAGAATAGTCGAATTCAAATGCGATCCATACGGAAACTTATGTCCAGTTGATTTTTTTTTTTATTTTTTTTTTTCGAAATACCATTAAAACGAAAAGAATATGTACAAAGTCCGGATGACTGACTAGCCAACATACAGCTAAAACAAACAAGAGAACTCCTACAGAAGGGACTAGTAGATAGAGAAAATATATACTAGCCTATACAAGGATACTAAAGACAGTAATTGATACTGAGGCCAATAGAACCTGGTACTGACTAAACAAAATGGACCATTTAACCACTGCTCAAAGAGTCTAGCTAGGAATGAGCAAAAAATGTCAAAAAATCTAGAACACCTACAAGATCCATTGTCTAAAGACAAGAGAATTCCCGCCATTCTAGGTAAGCCGAATCTACAATTTCCTTTTCATTTATCCACCTGTCTTGGAATACCCAAAGGTTGCGGGCTTTCCAGAGCCACCACAGTAGATAAGTGATCAGCTCTATTCTATCCACAGCCTGAGGATCTTTAGGTTTTAGGCAGACTTGTTTTCACCAATGAGAGAAATCTTCAGTATCTGTGTCTAGCTGCCAGTTAATGTGTGCAAGCTTCCACACAAGCTGTGCTCTTTGACACTGAAAGAACATGTGAGATACATTCTCCTCAGCCTCTCCACTTACTTTGTATATGGGATCTAACTGAATTCCTCTACTGATTAGTTTCATGTTGACATGAAGTGTATAGCTGAAACCTTGCCAGATAAAATGCTTGATTTTCCTTTTAATTTTCAATTTCCAGCTAAAGTTCCTAACCTTTTTAGTCTAGGTATGATGAGAGCTGCTCTCAGCAATATCAAGACTTCTAACCTTTTTCATGATCATATTTGAATATGAAGAAGCCACAGAAAATACCCTTTTCTTATCAAAACTCCATATGAATCTATCTTTCTTTTGACTGTTGATGGTGGAGATATTCACGATGGCATCACTCTCAGCAACAGAGAACAGATTTCTAATGAGGTTTTCATTCCAGTCATTCCCATTGTTCAACATGAGTTGGGACACCCAGATGATGTTAGAGTGAGCAGAGGTATGACTCTGAAGTTGAGGTCTGTGAAGTGGAAGTGAGGGTACCCATGGATGCTCCCACACTTGGGTTGTTTTTCCATCCCCAATTTCCACAAGAAATCCTTCAGAGAAAGTTTCTTTGGTCTTCATCCAGCTTCTCCAAAGCCATGAGCTAGATTGAGTAACCTTGCTTTCTAGAAGAGAACAATATGGGAAATATCTGGCCTTTAAGACTCGGCTAACAAGGAGATTAGGCTTTGTTACAATTCTCCAAAGCTGCTTCATAATAAGGGCTTGATTAAATAAGTTCAGATCAGCAAAACCTAGTCCTCCTTCTGACAATGGCAATGATACACAGTCCCAATATTTCCAATGGATACCCTTTCTGTCAGAGTTTCCTTTGTTCCACCAGAAAGAAGCAATAAGTTGTGATAGCTCATGACAGAGGCCAACAGGGAGAGTATAGCATGACATAACAAAGACAGGCAGGGCACAAAATGTGGATTTTATCAAAATGCTGTTGATAAATACTTGTTTTTCCAGCTGAAGATTTTGTTTCTCACCATTTCAGTCACAAATGCAAAAGTTTCCCGTTTGGACCTACCAATGTTTAGAGGTAATCCAAGGTATTTGGTTGACGTTTTGACCTGCACTCCATTGAGAATTGAGAAGATGCTACTTTGGAAAGAGTTAGGGGTATTCCTGCTGAAGAAGATGGAGGATTTCTCCAGGTTGACTTGTTGTCCAGTAAGTCTCTGGTATGTGTAGAGGATGTTGAGGATGGTGTTGGCATTTTGTGGAGTTGCATGACAGAGGAGAAGGGTATCATCCGCAAAAAGTAAATGGGACAAGATGGGCCCATTTTTGGAAATCCTGAGGCCTTGCAGATAGCCTTCAGAGGTGGCTTTTGAAATAAGTCCTGAAAAAAACTCAGCCACAATGATGAAAATAGAGGGGGAGATAGTATCTCCCTGCCTAATCCCCCTGGTTGGAGTCACAAAACCACTGATAGTGCCATTAATATTAAAAGAGAATGCAGAAGATGAGACACAAGCAATAACCAGTTAATGAATTTATGAGGGGACCCCATTTTGCCATAATCAACCTAATGCTATTCCATTCAATCCTATCAAAAGCCTTTGCCATGTCAAGCTTGAGAACCATGTAATATTTATTCCCAGTTCTATGTCTGTTGAGATAATGAATGGCCTCAGTTGCAATAACTACATTATCCATCAGGTGTCTAGAAGGGATGAAAGCAGCTTGACTTTCAGAGATACAATTATGAAGGCAGTGCTTAAGTCTAAAAGCAAGAATTTTGGATATGATTTTGTAGGGGACACCACAGAGGCTTATAGGTCTGAAATTGCTCACAACAGAAGGATTTTTGCATTTGGGTACAAGGGTAATAGATGTATGGTTCCAGTTTTTAATAATCTGGTTAGAATAAAAAAAAGCTTTTAATGGCAAGGCAAAGATCATGTTTAACAATATTCCAAAACTTTTGATAGAAAAGAGGAGACATACCATCAAGTCCAGGGGCTTTGTTGGGATTCATGCTATCAAGGATTGCCTTTATTTCTTCTTCCTTCACAGGTCCAGTAAGTGAAGCCATATCCTCTTCAGCAATTCTTCCCATTATGCAGTCAAGAGTGTCATCATCCACCCAAGAGCCTTCAGAACTGAATAAATGAGAGTAGTAATCAGGAATGTAGCCCTCAATGTCCTCTTTAGTTTCACAGAAAGTGTTGTCCTGTCTGATGAGCTTGGAGATAGCATTCAACTTTCTTCTTTGGAGGGTGAAGGCATGGAAAAACTTTGTGTTTCTGTCACCCTCCTTTAGCCATTGTATTCTGGACTTCTGAGACCAGAATAATTCTTCCTCTTTATGAGCTTTAGCCAGGTGTACATTCAAATAATTCTATCTCTCGCAATCTCTCTCTTCCCCTTGTGCTCTGAGCTGATCAAGTTCTCTGGTGAAAGATTCAATTTGCTTTGCATTATCGGTTTTGAAAGTTTTGCTCCACTTAAGGAGAGCAATTCTGACCTCCTTGATCTTGCTGCTGAATAGGAACTGTTGAGAGCCAAAGTGGTGAGAGTTCCAAGCAGATGAGATCACTTCCTGAATTCCTTGTTTATTTAACCAACGCTTATCAAAGATGAACCTTTTTTTGAAAATAGGCTCAGTGTGCTCAGTCTGAAGAAACACCAGGCTATGATCAGAAGAGCTGCAAAGAAAATTTGAGGAGCTAGTATTTGGGAAGAGAGATAGCCATCCTAAAGAAACAAAAAATGGTCTAGCTTTTCTTCTACAGAGAGGGGTCCTCGTCTGTATTACACCATGTATAGGGATATCCAGACATAGTGATCTCTTGCATATTCATAGCGACTATGAAGTTCTTGAATTCCCAGAAGCTATTCTCTTGCCTATTTCTGCCACCCTTTTTCTCCTCATGATCACATAAGTCATTCCAGTCGCCTCCAATGAACCAAGAGGACCCCCAATTGTATTTGGCATTCAATAGATAATCTCTTTGAGAGTCTTTCCCTGTAATCAGAGCTCATGTACACAAAAGTAGCCCAATGAATACCAGGCTTTGAAGAGTGCTGATATTGAACTTCAAAACAGAAGTAGTGGCTAATGACTTGCAGAATTTCAATATCTTTATTCCAAAGCAGAAGAATACCACCACTCTGACCCGCTGGGGTTACCATGGAGTAGCAAGAAGCAAAACCTAACTCTTTATAAACATTTTTAACAAAACCATTTGATTTTCTAGTTTCACAAACAAAAGTAAACCATGGGAGGTGGAGCCTAAGAGACTCCTTGAGCTGGGGAACTGTAGAGGGCCCTCCCAGTCCTCTACAGTTCCACATCGTGGCTCTCATTGGGCAGGGGGGAGCTAACTCGGGCTGGCTTCCTTCTACAGTTTCACATCGTGGCTCTCATNGGGGAGCTAATTCGGGCTGGCTTCCTCCACCACTATATCTGTTAACTTCAATTTCTTCTGGTTGGACTGGCTAAAGGAGTCTTCATGGTAATTCTGAACAGTTGGGTCTGAAGGAAGTCTCTCTCTTTTGGTTTTATTAGGAGGATTGGCTGTAGTGGTTATAGTGGTTTTGGTTGATGTATCAAGAGGTGTTCTTGGGTGCCTGAACCATTTTTTGGAAGATGAAGGGATAATGTTTGAAGGGGTGTTGATGATAAAGGTAGGTTCTGAGTGAATAGGGGTAGGTTCTGGTTGAATAGGGGTAGGTTCTGATTCCATAAGATTGGCAGCAGAGATGTCTAATATTGTTTTTGGAGCATGGATATCAAGATTTGGGTGAGTGGTACTTGCTGGGGGTTTGGTTGGGAGTTTTGATTTGATTTCAGGTATGGTGGCTTTAATTTTTTCAATTAAGAGAGATTTATTGGATATAGGCAAAGCTTTGGACAGTTGAGAATTCTCTGGGCACAAATGGGATTGCACTGGTTTTGAAGGAGAGGAGGAGGAGGGTGAAGTGTTGACTGTATGGTTGAGAGATGGATTAGCGATGAGGGAGGGGTTTGAATTTTCATGGGAAAAAGATGAGCTTTTATGCTTGTTACTAGGAGAAGAGGCTAAAACTTTCATCCATTCATCATATTGACCATCCTGGAGATGTCCTTCATCAATATCTAAAATTCTTTGACTG